CTGTTTCTGCTGACTCAGCTCTAGATTATTGATTACAGTTATTTCTTTATGAATCAGACTGCACTGCAGCAGTTGGCAATACTTAGTCTGAGGATATTGCATATATGTGTAAGTATGGTTTGGTTTCTGGTTTTGGTTTATGGCTGAAGCAGAATGTGAAGAAAAAGCATCTGATTAGCTTTGCCTAAATCAGAAATTTCAAGAAGAAAAAAACACACAACAAAACCCTAATTATAACATGGCCAATTTTTAAATAGAGCATCCAAGTCCAAATATGAACTGATTCTGGTATTTCCTAATATTGGTACAAATATTTATAAATATAGAATAATGTCCTGGAGCAGAATTAGTCGTCATTATCATTGCATGCTGTAACAGTATTATGGTTGTAATTACCTCATTGTCTCTGCATTTAAAGGCATTCACATCATGATCCCTATATTTCCACAACCAAGTAAGATTACCAATTCCATTTCAGTTTTACTTGGTTCTCAGGAGCCTTGCTAAATTTTGCTCAAGACAGAGCAGAAAATTTGCCTGTTAATGGGGGGCAGCGGGTGGGAACCATCACTGCATCTCTCTTCTGTTTTGTTTGCAATTATCCTGTTATGTTTGAGCATATGAAATGCTAAAGGTCTTGTTTCAAGAAGACACTAACTTTGTTATTGAACCCAATCACTTTTCAAGAAATTACTTATGACAAAATAGACTTCTAGCTTCCTAAAAAATGAGATAGCTTTGACAGCTCCCAGATGAAAATAAAGACCATGTACTTGAAAACCTACTTAATGCAGTAGAAAGCCCTGATGTCCTTTGTTTGTTTGGCTTACAAACCTCAGTGGATGTGCTCATACATCATACTAACCCCAAAACAAGCAAACCAACATTAGAATTATGTGTAAATCAGCTCACCTACACCCCCCCAGGATTGCATATTTCAGAAAGCTATCTTTATCCTGATATAAAACATTCTTGTTTAATTTAAAATAGTCTGTTGAATACTGGCTTCCGGTTAGTATTTCCTTTAAAGACAAAATCTTAATGTTTACTATCTCAGTGCATACAGTATTTATGTGCCAATATGTAATTGGTACAATTCAGTTATACTTCATAACTTTTAATCTTTTGAAAGGTTATTATTAAAAAGATAGTGGGAAACGTGCAATGGAGTTTTGTATTGATGGAAATCATCTGAGCCCTGATCCAAAAGAATATTCCAGTGTCATTAATTCCAGTGCATGTAACAGTCCAAAAGAATACCATGTTTGATAATACTGAATACCGCTAAGAGGTCTGATAGAGCCAAGAGGGCACAATTACCCCATCTAGATCCCAATGAAGGTCATCTACCAGATGACCAATGCCATTTCTGTCTCATAACTGGGATTGAATACAAACTGAAAAGGATCCAGATAATTTGTTTTTCTAGGATGTAGGTGAAAGGCCAGAATTGCTGGATAAACCATGTTTGAGTCAAAGTGCATTGTAATTTCTCTTTGGCTGGTACATGTACTTCTCCTTTAACTACCAGGAGGCATGGTTACTCCTGGAAAATGTGAGGTCCAATAATACATATTAACACACATTTTAAAAAGAAGTATCCACAGAGATTCCAAAAGACAAAAATAATAGCTACTTGCTAGGAACTAGAAACAGAGACTATTCTTAGTAAATAAGGACCTTGGAAATAAGAATAGTATGATCCTTGAGGATTCAAAAGCTGCCCATCCCTAGACCAAACAGTAAAGAAAATCTAGCTGAGAAATTATGCCTATTAATCTTACCTTGTAAATGTGTCAGAGTAGAGCAGTAGTGATCAATACATGGCTGTTGAAATTGATTACATGATATTGACTACAATTCTCTTGCTAAAGACTGGGTCATTCCTACCATCTCTGGATCATTCTCTAGAACAGGAGTCTCAAACTATAATTGTCAGGGGTCCATCTGAGGAATAGTTCATTGGCTCAAGGGTTGAAACACTGAAGCCTTTTGATACAATGCCATTTATGGCATTGTATCAAAAGTCTCTAGTGAATCAAAAATGAAGAAAATGAAGACTATCATGGTATGCCATTAAACCAATGTATTACATTACTGCAAAACAGAGCTTCTTGCAAAACAGCCATTTTACTTTCACCATTTAGCTTGCAGTGCTTTCGTTAACTAGATCACCAATATTAGGTTTGTTACTGGGTTGATATGTAATATTTTTTCAAGATCGTATTGAAGATGATATGGGAAAACCATTCCATGAGGAGCTGTCCAAATCCCTGCTTTTCTCTTACTTCTTTCTCCTTGCTGAAGAAATATCTTTCTTTTCTTCTGGCCTTTTTCTCAAGAGATTGTGCATGCCTGCTTGTTGCTTTCCATTTTTTCCACTTCTTGCCTGTTGTGAAAACCTCAAGGCAGGGTAGCCATACTTCCCCCCCCCCCCCCCCTTTCCAACCTCCCCCCCCCCCCAGCTACTTTCTCTTCCCTCTCTCCCTTCTCTGGGCAGTTCCAGGATATGTTTATTGCCAAGTCTCACCTTCCTGTCACTCCTGCCCAGACAGCCTGGCACTGCTTCAGAAGTAGCATCTGTCATGGAGCGTGAGAGTGGGTGGGGTTCCCAGGCAGCGGTACAACTTGTCATGAGAGAGTTTGGGATGCTGACTGTGTGGGCCAGCCAGTCAGGGCCTGCTGTTCTTCCTGTTACTCGGCCTGAGCATTTACATGGCACTTAAGGAACTAGCCTTGCTGGGCAGTGTCCTTAGTGCCTAGCAAATATTGTGACAGACCACAGAAAATTACTTGAAAATCCACATCTGCCCACAGGGTATGAGCTTGAGACCTCTGCTCTAAAATCTGAGCCACAACGTACTACTGTGGATAAGATATCTAGAGCATGATGCACTTTAGCTAACTCAAGCAAGAGATCCAAGGCATTTCTGCAGGGGAAGCGATAATAATAATATTGATCCAATTTTTAGATTTGTTTCTGTTTTGTTTCCTTCCATTTTGCATTTTATTGTCATGGTTTTCTTTGGGTTTCTCTTTGTTTTACAGTTCTTTTGGGCTCGTTTTTTGAGACTGTTTGATGCGTTGGCTTCCCATCTGCTGCTTATAACCATCTCAGCCATGAGTTGTGAGTGAGCCATCATAATGCTTCTTATTTTTTTTTAGTTTGTGTTTGTTTGTTTGTTTTAATAATGAATAGAATTCTACGTTTTTTCCCCCTTTATTTTGTTTTCATGAAATAATTCTTGCTCTCAATTTTTGATGCATAGCCCAGGAGCCTTCTTATGACAGTTGGGCCCTTGTAGGTCTGCAGTGAATCAAGTGGGATTGCATGAAGATCCTTTGGGCCTTAGGAACAACCTCTATTTTAAATTTTTAATAATTGTGCAAAAGCTGAATATGCCGAATCCTGTTTACACACATGAAAATATATTTCCTTCAGAAACATGAAATATGTACCTGAAATTGCAGCCATTCAGTGATGGAATCCTAACCATAAGAGAAAGTGACAGTTCAGCTGAAGTTTTGTTCTAGCATATGCCTCTCAGTTCTCAGGAGACCAAAAATATTTGTTTAAGCCACTAAGGTTGTGACATTTATTTATTCAGGAAAGCTTTATCACAACTTTTAAAACATCTTTTCCCAAATACACTGGAGAACCTCTATCCTTCTATTTTAGTAATAACTTGTTCCAGAAAGTAGAGTATGTAACAATGGTGATTAAGTTTATGTGACTAAACTCGTGGTTAGGAGTTAGGTAAGCAATGGCTCTCTTTTAGTATTACTGCATCACGTAGATTCTAAAAATCAGGTTTCAGTTATTAAATAATTGAAGATAGAGGGTTCTATCCAAAGTTATACAAGTAGACTGTTGTCCACACAACAGAACACCTGTCTTTTCTCTCTGTACTGTACCACCTCCCATATTTGGTGTTCCAGTTCCTTGGAGCATCTTTGAGGAGTTGCAGGGAGCAAAGAACAATCTATTTCACCAGTGGTACCCATTCTGCTGATAGATGAATGCTGAACTATACATTGTGGAACCAACAGAAACGTTAGTACAGTTGGGACCGAACTGCTGCTCTTTCTTTGTTTTTCATAGATAATTTTTGCTGCACAATAAAAAGAACCAAAACTGACACTGAAATTCTACTCAACTATGAATCACAATCAATCCTGGTTTCTTAAAGAATGAATATGTACATTCTTTAAGAAATGTGTGTGTGTGTGTATTTATATAATA